CTTGAGCACTCTATTAAAAGCCACTTGAAAGCAAAGCCATATAATGGCCTGACTCTTGGATACGAGACCCGTACCATGCCTGGCGGGCAGATGGCTGTCCTGGCGCCTTGGCCTTGTGGGTGAGGCAGGGTGGCAGGAAGAAGGGCAGGGCAGCTGTAGTGTGGCCCCTATCTCCCCTGGACCATTCCTGGGTTTTCTCCCTCTCCCACCTTGATCTCCTAGAGCTGAGTGTATTCAAACATAAAGTGAGGAGGCATGACCTGGGGACTGGAAAGGGGCTCTGGAAAGCTCCTCTTTTCTCAGCTGGCACGTTTTAGGTCCAGCATCGTATCATCTGGGTTACTGGTGGTCCAGGCAGCCTCAGGACCTCTCCCTATCCCAGCGAAGAGACCCTCTGGCCTGTGTGCTGTGCCCAGGACTTCCTCCTTCCTCCTTTCCTCCTGATCTCCCCGCTGGGGATCATTATCAGCCTGGACTCCAGCTTCTTGCTTCCCCTGCCCAGCTCTGGAGCTCCATTGTCTACCTTATATACAAAGTTTCTCTTTAAATGGATTTCAAAAAATCAAACCCCTCCTTAAAGTACAAAGGTTTGCACTGAGCAAACTGGATATTAAAAATGTACAGATATTGTTAAAACGGAAAACATGCTTTGAACAGAGAATGGAATAAAGGAAAATTCTGGCCAGGGACAAAGCTTTTTGGATTTGTAAATTGTCATGTTTTTTAAAAACAAAAATCTCAAGCTTTGTAGCTACAGCTTAATTTTGTAAATAAACGTATTCTACACCCCCTTAACTACTCCCATGTGGCTTTTTAAGTATTCAACAGGTGCTCGTTCATCATCACACACACCAGGACATGGTTCTCAACTTGATTGTGTTTTGGAATTACCCGGTGCACTTGAAATTCGCTGAGGCCTGAGTTTGCCCTCAGAGTGTCTGATTTAATTGGTCTGGGCTGCAGCCTGGCCACTTGGAATTTTAGAAGCTCTGAAGGTAGTGAGCCAGGCTGACAGGTTACCAGAATCTGGGTTCTTTCTGACTTATCTTCTATCAGGGTTGTGTCCTTGGACAAAACACATAGCTTCCCTGAGCCTCAGTTTCCCTAAAGGTAAAGTGGAGGTGACAGTCTCTTCTCCACCTGCTTTATACACTTGCCAAGATGATCCTGGAAGATTGTGTTTATGGAAAGACTTTGCAAACCAGATATTTTTATGATGATTAGTAATCACTTTGATTATTGCTGACTTCACACATAGCTAAGATTCTTAAGGATAGAAAAACATGGTCTTTTTTTGTTTGTTTCATGCCCAACATTAGAATGTATACACCATCCTTTTGTCTTTCACACCATCATTTCTTCCTTCAAATCCCCCACCCAGCTCCATGCTAGGAGTATATGCTCTACTAAACATTATTTGATACTTTTTGGCCTCAGAGCCGTCTTCTACTGGGGTCCCATTCCTTCTCAGTGGGTATGTTAATGCTCTTTGACCACCAATTCTATTGGCTCCTGGCTGTCCTGGTCTGAACTCTTAGCCCACAGGGCGTATCACTCTCACATTTTGAGTTTTCCCCAGGCTTACACCCTGAATGGTTTTGCTGATTTTTTTCCTTTCTGTTTCCCTGAAAATTTTATATCTGCCATGGGATAGAACCAATGTACTTTTCCCCATCCTTATATCTGGGGTCAAAGCTATGGTTTGAGTTCTTTGGGGCCTGAGGCTGCTGTCAGCATCTCCAGGGAGAGCAGGGCTGTTCCAGATGCACAGCATTTTCCTTGGTATGAGCCTGTCCCATCACTTCCAGGAGTCATGCCTCATCACAAGCTTGTGGGATTGATCACTTTTTTACCCCCAGTTTATTAAGGAGCAAAGCAATATGCAGGAATCCTGGGTGTGTCTTCCTCTGTCCTCAGAGCCAGACTCAGGATGCATGATCTTTGTTCTGCGTTTTCTCCCAGTTTTGGTGCACCTTGACCTCTAGGCAGTGTCTCATCCCTCTAATTCACAACAAGGTGTGATGAGCCAGGCTGACTTGAGTCTATGCACCTGTGTCCTTTGGACAGGTTAAATTTCTTCCCAAGGTCTTCGATCCTTCATCTCTGATACTTGATGACAGTAATGGAATCCAAGCACCCAGAATTTGGGGTGAGGATGGAATACTATGTGTGAAGGGTCTGAGTGGACCACCTGACTAGAAAGATATCTATTGATATTCATTTCCTTCCTACATCACTGTCTGGTTGTCAGTTTTCTCCTTCATTAATTCAGGACTTTCCAGCTTTAGATTTCTTTGATTCTGGAAACAGAACTTACTTCTGAGGTGAACTTTTACAGGGCTAGGCAGACGTGCTTTCTCCCAGATTCTAAATCACCCAGGTCATGCCACCATGCATTTTCATTTGCTTCACTGCTAAGGAAAAGCAATCTAATGTCCAATCTCGACAGATCAACCAATTGTGCAAAAGGATAGCAATTTCCCTGTGGAAAAAAGTAAATGAGTGTAACTTGGTCATTTACCAAAGTTCAGGAAAGTACCATAGAGAGTGGCTGGGTGGAAGGACTGCTTGGGCAGAGAGGCCTTTGGAGGACTGATGAGGTAGGGGGAGTGGGGAACAGAGCCCCACTGGGGACCAGAAAACTATAAAGAGAGGGGAAGTGAGCAGAAATGGATCTCAGGTTTCCTTCTTCTCACAAACTCAGGGAAGCTTCTGTGTTTAGGCATTCAGGCTTAGGAGTTAGACACCTGGATCATTCAAATCCCAGCTCTGCCACTTCTGGGCTTTGTCTTAGGAAAATTCTGAGCCTTTCCCACTCTGTTAATTTATCTGTAAAATGGGAACAGTTTTATAGGCCAATCTTACAGGGTGGTTGGGATGATGAAATGAGAAATGTGTCATAGCACTTAGCACGTATCAGTTGGGCACATGACAAATATTCATGAAATGGTGGTGCCATCACCAGCATCGCCATCACCACCATCATCACCATCATCAATACCACCATCATCATTGTGATGAAGGCTCACACACAGAGCTGTGAGGCTGGAGGATTCCCAGAGGATGAGTAGAGCCCATTTCAAAGCCAGTACCAGAAAGGAGGCTTTGGTGGTGACACAACTTTCCTCAAGAATGCCCCCAAGGCAGGTATGCAAACCCTACAGGATCAGGAACTTGGCAGAGAAAGTAGGGACATTGGGCCATCTGCCAAATTCCTGTTCCAACCACTAAGTTAATGTTAAAATTTGCATTTTGGTTGGTTAATTCATGACTATGGTTCTGTGCTCCTAGTGCTCACAAGGTAAGGGAATGAGGTTTGGCCACCATTGGGTTGACACAGGCAACATGTCCAGGTGACTGCTCAACAAAATTGAAGGTTTACAAAATTCTTCATCTGAGCCATCTGGGCCAACAGTCGGAAGGAGGAAGGTTACAGAAATAATTATAATCACCCTTCCCCCGTATTCACACACAATGTCTTCCTTAACATTCAAAGCAAAATGATGAGGTGGGCAGCATTACTATTAATGAGATGAGGAAAAGAAGAGTCCAAAAAGGAAACTGACTTACCTGAGCGCATATTGTCAGTGAGGATGTGAAGCCAGGTCATCCAGTTTCAAACATGGGCTTTTTTCTGCTTCTCCCACACTGCTGTTAAGGTCCAGACACAGCCTATTGAAGTGCCTCATATTGTGTTCCAGGAATAATCTTTTGGACTTCTTTCTGAACCACGATTTCGTTTCTCTATGGAGCAAAGGACAAGCAGAGTGACAGGGACTAGAAGGTGATAATGGGGGAGGCTACTTTGTTAATATTCATTACTGGGCAATGGGGGAGACTCCCTAGGGTTTGGAAGGATCAAAGAGTATCATCCCAGAGGTGCGCTGTCATCACTTCTCAGGAATGATGGGGTCAAGCTACACTCTCATGGGTTCTGTGACTTGTTTGGGGCATCTCAGGCTGACAGAGTCACACCTTTAGGGGTATTCAGTGCTGTTGTAAAGAGGAGTACGTCTACGAAAAAGGCAAGAGAAAGTTCCAGAGACTTTGAGAAGAGGTTACTGTGGTTACAGAGATGGCTCTAAATGCCTGATTCTGGTTTTCCTTTCTCGTTGAGTTTGAGGTAATATACCACATTTTCACGTCCACACTGACTGTGGACTATCCCTACCCTCATTTTCCTTCTAGATATTTCTTCTCATTCTCACCTTTAAGGAGATTACTGCATCAGTGATAGTTGGTAAAATTTTTCTGCAAAGGACCAGACAGTGAATCTTTTAGGCTTTGCAGGCCATATGGTATTTGATGCAAAAACTCAACTCCGTCATTGTAGTACAAAGCAGCCCTAGACAACACCTAAATGGATTGGCCTGGCTGTGTCCCAGTAAAACTTGATTTACCAAAAAGGCAGCAGGCTGAACTGTGGGGTGTCACATACTGATCTCTGGCTCAGGGCTACTCCCATCTCTCCAGCTGGTTTCATTTTCCAACCACGAACACTCAAGTATTTTCAGCCTCTCCAGGTGTTGACAAATTCGCTAAGCCCCAGTTAATACTCTCACTGAGTAAAGCTCAGCATCCGTGTAGTTAACACAGGATGAATTTCTGCTAGAAGGACAGGGTGAACTGAACAGTGAAATGTGGGCAGACTGACAGAAGATATGCTCGAGAAGACTGTTCACTCCAGACTCACCTTCCGGGGAGTCTAGGGGCAGGACCTCATGGGTGAGGAATTCCTGATTCCTAAACAACTCCACCCCATGTCCCTGGCTGTCCTCCCTTCTGAGTAATGGGGAGAGAAACTTGAGGCTGTGATGATTCTGCCTCCTTTGAAGCCATCTGATGAAACTCTGATATCACCAACCACTAGCACCCAGGAAGAACCTGGTGTGACACAAGCTGAATGGAATAATTTTATGGGTTGAGGGGGGACTCTTTGGAGGTATCTAAATAGCATATTTTGGAGAAAAAAATTAGCTGAAGCATTAGGAAAAGCAACTATGCTGTATGCCAAGGCCCCACCCACCATGAAGGGTATAAAAGGACCATGGAGGGAGGAGAGACTCAAACCTCACCCACCTCCACTTCCGTCGGGTCACCTCCTCTTCCATCACCTCTCCCAGCACCATGCCTTACAGCTGCTGCCTGCCCAGCGTGGGCTGCCACTCCGGCTGCTCCTCCCGGCCCTGCGTGCCCCCCAGCTGTCACGGCTGCACCCTGCCCGGGGCCTGCAACATCCCCGCCAACGTGAGCAGCTGCAACTGGTTCTGCGAGGGCTCCTTCAATGGCAACGAGAAGGAGACCATGCAGTTCCTGAACGACCGCCTGGCCAGCTACCTGGAGAAGGTGCGGCAGCTGGAGCGGGACAACGCGGAGCTGGAGAGCCGCATCCGGGAGTGGTCCCAGCAGCAGGAGCCCCTGGTGTGCCCCAACTACCAGTCCTACTTCCGGACCATCGAGGAGCTCCAGCAGAAGGTGAGGGCCTGGGCTCTGAGGGGCACAGCAGCAGCTTCCTGACTTTGAACAAAAAGACACGCTCAAGTTCAAGTGGTCCTCACTGTAGAATCTTGTTTTCAGATTCTGTGTGCCAAGTCTGAGAACGACAGGCTGGTGCTGCAGATTGACAATGCCAAGCTGGCCTCCGATGACTTCAGGACCAAGTACGTTGAGATTTTTGGGCTAGGTGACCTCCAAGGCCCCGATACCCTATCATGGTCCCGTGGGCCTAACGTTGCCTAGAAGGGAAGAGGAAGCCATGTCTCCTTTTTAATTTTTCCTCTTAAGGCTGTAAAACTGGTTTCATGTGCTGTTTGATCTTCAGCCTTAATTGCTCTTTCTGGAAGGCCTTAAACCCCCAGATTCAGAAATTAACTGTTCTCAGGGAAAAAGATGGGTTTGGTGGTATGTTAACCAACAAAATTGAGAGAAGTGAAAGAGTCCATCTCATGGGTGCCTTCTGGCATCAGGGTGAATCTGGGGCCTCTCCAGCCTGTCCATATAGAGCTCGTGGGAGGCGTGGAAGGGAAGTGGCAGAAAACTGTGTCAGTGCAAAGAGAGCCAGGACGATCCCATCCACACAAGACATGGGGCAGGGAGATGGGCCAACTCCCTGGCTCATCCTCCCACTGCCTCCTGTGTGTGCAGGTACGAGATGGAGCGTTCCTCACGGCAGTTGGTGGAGTCGGACATCAACAGCTTACGCAGGATCCTGGACGAGCTGACCCTGTGCAAGGCTGACCTGGAGGCCCAGGTGGAGTCCCTGCGGGAGGAGCTGCTTTGCCTCAAGCAGAACCACGAACAGGTGAGAGGAGAAGGGAAAAAGAGGCCTCAGAGCTGAGCCTTTCGTATAGGGAATCTGGCAGTTGCTGCCATCAGGCTCCCTGGGCTGGGACCCTTCTCTGAAGAAGGTCAGTTCAGGGAGGAGTGATGCTAGCGCCATACCGTGGGCTGAGTGAGCTGCGAGGATCGGACGGCGTTGGAGATGCTGGGGAAGGACATCCTTTTATTGACGCCTGTTCTCTGCTGGTCACTGTCAGGTCCTGAACTTGGTGGTAGGGATGGAGGAAAAAAAAAAGAAAAAAGAAAACATTCCCACGTGTCATGAGGATGACCGTGATCCTGTGTGGGCATCTGGGATGGTCAGGGAGGCAGCTGGACCCCAAGGAAGTTTCAAACTCTGTGTCCAGTCTTATTCCACTACCTTGAGTTGAGGCATTTAGCAATGACCCGCTGCTTTTAAATAGTAAAAACACACTTTTGCTGTCTGTCTTCCAGGGTGGGCGTTAAGAGTGGGAAGTTTTGATTTATCTTTTGACTGTCAGACTTGCACAATGGATACTTTATTACAGAAGCATTTGTTATGTATAAACAATATTTATATGTATATAACCCCCAAGTTCTGGAACCATCCAGTCTGCCTGAAGGGAGATTGGGAACCCTCCTCAGAGGCATGTCACAGGAAGGAGGAAGAGTTTAATACTTGGTGTTCCAGTCTGAGGGGAGGACTGAGCAAGGGCCCAGAAGCGGCAGGGTAGGGTATTCCTGAGTATGGATGGGGAGGCAGTAACTACAGGCATGTGATGAGAAGTATGGGAAGATGTGCATATGCCACAGAGTTTGGACTTAGTCTTAGAGGAATGTGAGCTTATTTAAGTTCTTTGGGGAAAGGAATTGATGTGATCCCTATCTGGGTCTATTCCTGCACAATATCCCTGTCATTCTCTGTGAATGATCATGTTATTCTTTTCCATGCATTTTGGGTAGGATGTGCTCACTTTGCTACAGAAGGAAAACGGCAGATCTATTTCTGTGGGTTCATTCCTTTCTCTTCCTCTATCAGGAAGTCAACACCCTGCGCTGCCAACTCGGAGACCGCCTCAACGTGGAGGTGGACGCCGCCCCCACCGTGGACCTGAACCGTGTGCTCAAC